TGGCTGTGGGCTGGAGGGAGGTAGGAATCCGCCTCATCGAGGGCCCCAGATGGCCCATGAGAGATGGCCCAAGATGGCCCAAGATAGATGGCCCAAGATGGCCCAAGAGAGATGGCCCAAGATGGCCCGAGAGAGATGGCCCAAGATGGCCCAAGACGACCCCGTGCCCCATCTTTTCCCGCCTCCTCTCCCAGAGGCCCGTCATCGGCATTGGGGCTCAAAATCTCCTGCAGGCGCGGATATGTTCGCGAGGCCCGCAGAAGTGAGCTAGCGCCGCCGCGCACGGGAGATGGCGCCAAAACCGACGACGGTGATGAAGCGAGCCCCGCAGAAGCCGAAGCCGAAGGGACCGCAGACCGTTCCGAAGCCGATGCAGGACCCGCAGCCGAAACCGATGCCGAACCCGCGCCCGCAGCCGCATCCGAACGGACAGCAGTATAATAATACCTCCATCGAGGTCAAGAAGTGGTTCACGAAACAGAAGGACCAGGGATGGGGCGGCAAGCTGATCGGCCTGTCTTGGCAGGGGCAGGATGAGCAGGTGGAAGAGAAGTGGAAATGGACCCCGCCGCAAGGGGAGCCGCAGGACGACAGGGGCCCTGGCAAGGGCCGCGGCAGGGGCCGCGGCAAGGGCCGCGGCAAGGGCCGCGACAACAGATCAGATGCGAGCAGGGCAGGGCGCGACAATCAACAAGTGAGCAGGATAAGGGGGCGACGACCGCACGCTCCAGTGAGGAGGGAGGGGGGCTGAGGAAGGGGCGGGGGACGAGACACGCAGCGACGATGCCCCCCACCTGGGCCCGCGCCTGTCATGCGCATGCGGCGCATAGGGGCACAGCTACCAAAGGCTGATGCACGGCGTGCCAATCTCCTCCATCTCCTCCACGTCTCCTCCAATCCCCCATTCCATCCTTCCCCCATGACGCCGTTGCTAGCGCGGGCGGCTTGGCATTCGCTCTCCAGCGCCCGCGAAAAAACAAAGCAACAGTTGCACCATGCATGCAGCGGTCCAGTATAGTCTGCGAAGCTGCGCCACTCCCGAGGCCTGCTAAGGGGTCCAGCATAGACTGCGATCTGCGAAACCGTCGCCGCTTCCGAGGCCTGCTGAGGGGTCCAGCATAGTCTGCGATATGCGAAATTGTCGCCATTTCCAAGGCCTGCTTGGGGGGGGGCCAGCAAAGAGGATGGGGCATGGCGGGGACTTGACGATGACGCGATGGATTTTAGGGCCGGGGGAGGAGGACGAGGAGGATAATGCGCAACGGCCGTCACCCAGCGAGGAGGGGCAGGGGAAGGAAGGGATTGGCGTAACCGTCGCCACCCAGAGGATCATATAGAACAAACCTCCCCCGCCTCGATCCTCATATATACACGCGCGCGCAGACGCGCGCACGCGCACACGCGCACACGCACACGCACACACGCACGCACACACACGCACGCACAAAACATCCACCCCTGCTCCTCCGCCACAGCCTAAAGGATGAAAGACGATGATGGCCCCCAAGATGGCTCCAAGAGGCTTCCAAAAACAACCCCAGATGCCTGGTAGTCCAAGACGGACTCGAGACTGGTATCCAAGGGGGGTGCTGTCTGTTTGACTGTGTGCATGCTTGTGCGTGTGAATGTTTGTGCGTGTGAATATGTGAATATGCGAATGTGCGTGCGCGTGAATGTTTGCATGTGCGAACGCCTGCACGTGTGAAACCCGGGGGCGGAGGGGGGCAAACGTCGATGAATGTGCCAACGTGTTTTTGCGTTTTCCCCGAACCAGCGCTGCATCGGGGGACGCGCGCGCCCCCGTGTGACCCCGGGCAGCACGTTGCGCCGATGGCCTGGTGAGCGGCCTGCGGCGCCTGTTGAGTCCAAGGCCTGCAGCGCGTTCAGCGCTGCTAGGTCTTGCGGCTACGCTTCATCGGAGGCGGCGCCGCATTCTTGTAGCCGTTCAGCCTCGAGAACTCGTCGATGTGCTTGTGGTTCTCGCGCTCCTCGTCGATGTTCTTGATTAACTTGGGAATATCCTTCGTGTCGGCTGTTTCTGTTGCCAACCGCTCCAGGATCGTTTTGGTCGACTTCATCTTCTTCGGGCAAGTGTCGAGGTCGTTCCTGAACTCTTGTTGGTCGGGGTCGTCCTAGTTCTTCGCCTTGGTCTGGATCAGCCTCACCTCGAGGTGCATGTCCTGGAGCCCCCTAACCAAGGTCGGCAGATCAGCCTGGAGCTTGGCGACCTTGAGCGCGAGCGCCTTCTTAGCCGCCTCCTCGGCGTCGGCGGGCTCGGCCTTCACCTCGGCAACGTTGACGCCGCTGCTCGATGATGCCGCGGCAGTCAACTCCATGGCTGGCCCATCGCGCATCATAGCCATCTCGACCGCCTCCTGAGAGGCGTCGCCTTGAGTCTCCGCCAGGAACTTCTCCATGTCGCTCTGGGACATGCGCTCCCAATTCTTCGGCACGGGGTATTCTAAGCATTATGGCCCGGCGCGGCCAGTGATAGAATCATATAGACCCCTGCGAACAGCACGCCGCAATTCGGCCTTGTCGGGCCAAGGTCTCGATCCATGTCCTCCGCTGGCATCCGAAACACGTCCGACAATTTGGTCTCGTTGCTGATGATTTCCCTCGAAGCACAGATCTTCTTCTGCGCGTCCGAGCAGCGGCCCTGGTGCCCGAGGGGGGCCAGCATGAACTTCTCACTATACCTGTTGACCCTCGTGACCGCGTCGTCTGGGTTGGGCCCGACGTATGCCTCGAGCCCCTGCTTGATCGAATTGAAACGCTTCTGGTCTGCACTCGCCAAAAGTTTCCTCGCAGCTTCGATTTCGTCGTCAGACCGCTGGATCTCCGAGAATTATTCAGGCAATCTTTTTGGCCCCATCGAGGCTAGATCTCCGAGGGCGTCGCCGCGCGGCCAGATCTCCGAGAGTAGCGCCTTGAAGTACTCGACGCGAAACGGCTGCTACGCTGACGTTCTGTTTCGGGGCACGGGGGGGGGGGGGGGGGCGGGCGGGGAAGAGGGGGGTGGGGGGGTGGGGCAGAGGAGGAGGACGAGGGCGGAAAAGAGGAGGGAGGGGAGGGTGGGAAAGAGGAGGGGGGGGAAGGGGGGGGCCCTGACTCCCCGCGGCCCTGGAACACGCTGACCCACAGTTTATGTTATGTTCTGGAGCTGCTGTGGTGCATAGTTGTTCTGGTATGGACTGTTTTGTTATGTCTACGTTCTGTTATGTTGTTCGATGTTATTCGAATGTATCGCGTTCGGATGATGCGTAGCTGTTCACCCCGTCGGGATCGGAATCGAATTCTTTGTTGAAGTACAGATATAGTCCAATATATAGATCAATGTATAGATCAGCCTATGTGTTCATGTATATATATATATAAAGGTTTGAAGAGTAATCGAACTGTAGGTTGAACTATAGCTACGCTTCAATCTACAATTCGGTTTTGTGGTCAACCTTGTTTCCCTTGGTATGGTTGCGCGCCAGACTGAGTTTGTATGCGCGACGGCACTTTGTCATGACAGACGCATGCACAGGAAAGCGCGATCGTAACTCGTTGGCGACGCGGCCTCCTCATGAGTCCGAGTCTGACTCATCGCGCGGCTGACTGACGAGCGGAAGCGAGTCGCCCGAGTCCAACCCACCACCGCGGTCGGGATCGGCAGCTGCAGGCCTATTTCCCGCCCTATTAGCCTTGCCCCTGGAAGCCTTGGCCCTGGTCTTGGCCTTGCCCATGGCTTTCTGTAGTGACGCCGCGGCCTTGCCCTTCACCTCGTCCGCCTTGCTCTTGGCTTTCGGTGCTGACCCCTCGGACTTGCCCTTGCCATTGTCCTTGGAGTTCGCGCCATTGCCCGCGTCCTTGGACTTGCCCTTGGTATTCGTAGCTGGCGGCCTCTTCTTGTTGACGAAGAGCTTCGTCAGGTCGGACTCGTCGCCCCCCTCCTTCTGGTCGACATCGTCCTCCTCCATCAACTGCTTGGCAGGTGCTGCTTGAGATTGAACGCGCTGCGGGTGAACTCGGAGTGGGCTGTCTCGATGTGGCTGAGTAGCGCGTCCATGGTAGCCTCGGTCCAGCGCCGTCTGGTTACATACGCTTCGAAGGTGTCGATCTTCCTGAGCAGCTGCTTCGCGTCCGCCTTGATCTTCTCGTTCCACTTGCTGCCGTCAAGCTGTTCGGCCCATCTGCCGACGGCCATGATCATGTTGTTGGTGCTCTTCTTGTGCTTGGAGGCGGCCTCCACTTGGCGGATGAAAAGGGTATCGTTTTCGCCCTCGGGCCCAGCTTGATCTCCTTCGGGATTCCCTGGTGTCTCCAAGTCAATGGCTCCAGCTCTGAGAAGAGGATGTACCTCTCGCCCATCAGGGGCGCCGCGCATCTCAGGATCTGGCGCCGCCTGTGGTGGCGCAGCCCGTTCAGGTGAAGGGGTGATCCCCCCCCCCCCCCCCCTCGCGCCGAGGCGATGGCCTGGCCTTGCAGAGGCGACGAACTCTCTGCCGACGCCTGCAGGCGCCACAGAGCCCAAGACCGCGGCCTGGCCCTGGTCTGAAAAAGACGCTGCGCAAATCCTGGCGCGAGCCAAAACGGCTACTGATCGTTTTCGGTTTGCTTTGTTGAAGGCTCGTGTTCGCGTTTCCGTGTGTGTTTGTGTGTTGGGAATGTTCGTCTTCGTTCTCTGTGCCAGCCTAGCCCGAAACTCAAAATTGAATCATGCGTTGAACTATACCTATAAATCAATCATGCTTCAACCTCACGTTTCGATTGGGAGACTCCTAATCCTCAGGGCGCGCGGGGAAACGCACGCGGAGTGGAAGGAACAAGCGTTTCGCTGGAGACATCCGCGACATATGAAAACGAACGTGTCGCATGAGACCTGTCGCTCGGGGCAATCTTTCGACGTCGCATGCATAACGCGACAGAACTGGGGCACGACAGAACAGATCCGCAGGCATTTGTTGGTCTCATGCGGCGCTCTTTCTAGAACAGACCACACGCGTATTGTGACTATGTCTAGCCAGGCCGCAGCGCCCGACACCTTCGCCGACGGTTGCGGCTACGTGTTCGACCCTGTGGCAGAGCACGAAGAGACGTTGCGACAGCAGCAGCTTATGCAGGGGAGGGGGAACGCAGGGGATGGCGATCCCAGGCACGGGAGTCCGCGTTCCGACTTTCAACCGCGAGGAAGCCGTCGGCACCGAGAAGACAAGGAACGACGCGCCCCAGACTACCCTTTGGCTTGGCAAGCTCAAGGAGAAAAAGACGTCGTCGACATCGCTGCCGAGGGCGCGCCGCCTCAGGCAGCGTCGCACATGGCAACGGAACGGTCGAACCCCGCAGCGGCATTTACTTAGCTGCTTACAAGGAACCAGCGGCGATGAAGCAAGAGGCGAGGTCGCCAGCGGCGATGAAGCAAGAGGTCGGCCAGCAGTCGTCGCCTCCAGCGGCGAGGTCGCCATCGACGTTGAAGCTAGAAGTCGGCCAGCCGCCGCCAGGGGGCGGCCAGCAGCCGCCAGAGGTCGGCCAGCAGCCGCCAGCGAACGGCCAGAAGCGCAACGCCGACGTCATCCGAGAGTCCGACGTCATCCGAGAGGAGCGCAGGAAGAAGATCTCGAAGCTCACCGAGGAGGCGGCCGGCAGCCCGAGCGCGAGCAGCATGGCATTGAAGTGCGGGCACACGTGCCAAAACTTGTCGGACATGCCGCCCGCGGCGGGGCTGGTGCACAAAGCGCTCCTGGAGAAGCGCAGCTCGCACCCTGACGTCAAGGGGCGTCTCGCCGTCACGTGCGAGGCGCAGCGCTACAAGGCCTAGGGGTTTCAAGGCGACATGTCTTAGGGGATTTGAAGGCGACAAGGGCGACATTTCTCATGCCTGCGGGGCGGCGCCGCATTTTCTTAGGGGCTTCAAAGGCGACATGGGGCCTTGGCCAGCCAGGGCAAGGTGTGCACGACAGGTCCTGCTCACGCGTTCATATTCTGAACGATTGGGAAACGCCAGAAACAACGGCAACGACGACCACAGCAACAACAAAAAACGAACCACCTCCCCTCCCCCCCCCCCCCCCTCCCCCTCCAAAAGAAGGGCTCCGAGGAGGCCAGGAGCATGTCCACATGCATCATCATCACCGTCATCGCCAAGGGGGGAACGCGGATAGGACAATGTGGCTCCAAGTTTGCTCAGAGAGGACTAGCCTAAGACGGCGTCCACGATGTCCCAAGACGCTTCAACATGGACCGTGGCCCCTAGGGAAAGTGCGCCAGTGGATCTCCCTGGATACACTAAAGGGGGGTGTGGGGGGGATTCCAGACCCCCCTCCTTTTTTCCATTTTAAAAAAGGGGAAGGGGGGGGGGGGGGGGTCCGGAGCCCCCCCCACCTCCTCCCCCCCGTGGCGCTGGAGAGGGGGGGGGGGTTCGGACCCCTCCCCCCACTCGTGTAGGGAGGGCGGCGTTGGGAGTAGGGAGTGTTGAGTAGTGAGTTGTGAGTTAGTGCGCAGCGAGTAGTGAGTATTGGGTAGTGAGTAGTGGGTAGTGAGTGGCGAGTACAAGTAGGGAGCAGGGAGTGGGGAGTAGTGAGTAGTGAGTAATGAGTAGTGTGTATTGAAGAGTGAGTAGTGAGTGGCGAGTAGTGAGCAGTGAGTAGTGAGTAGCGAGTAGCGAGTAGTGAGTACTGAGTAGGGAGTAGGGAGTAATGAGTAGGTGGGTAGTGGGTAGTGGGTAGTGAGTAGTGAGTTTCGAGTAGTGATTAGTGAGTAGTGAATAGTGGGTAGTGTGTAGTGCGTAGTGAGTAGTTAGTAGTGAGTAGTGAGTAGTGAGTAGCGAGTAGTGAGGAGTAGTAAGTAGTAAGTAGTGCGTACTGAGTAGTACGTAGTGCGTAGTGAGTAGTGAGTAGTAAGTAGTGATGAATAGAGAGTAGTGGGTAGTGGCAGTGGGTAGTGAGTGGTGAGTAGCGAGTAGGGAGTAGCGAGTAGTGAGTAGTGAGTAGAGAGTAGCCAGTAGTGAGTAGTGGGTAGTGATGAGTGAGTAACGAGTAGGGAGTAGCGAGTAGTGAATAGTGAGTAGTCAGTAGTGAGTAGGGAGTAGGGAGTAGGGAGTAGTGAGCAGTGAGTAGTATGAAGTGGTAGCGAATAGTGGGTAGTGAGTAGCGATTGGTGAGTAGTGGGTAGTGAGTAGTGACTAGTGACTAGTGAGTCGTGACTCGTGACTAGAGACTATGTAGTGGCTAGTGAGTAGGGGGTAGTAAGTAGTGAGTAGTGAATAGTGGGTAGCGGGGAGTGAGTAGTGAGTATTGAGTAGCGAGAATGGGAGTAGCGAGTAGTGAGTACTGAGTACTGTGTAGTGAGTATTGTGTAGGGAGTAGCGAGTAGTGGGTAGTGGGTAGTGAGTAGTGATTCGTGGGCAATGAGTAGTGAGTAGTGAATAGTGGGTAGTGGGTAATGAGTAGTGTTTTGTGAGCAGGGAGTAGTGAGTAGTGCGAATAGCGAGTAGTCAGTAGTGGGTAGTGAGTAATGAGTAGTGGGTGCTCTTTGGGGCAGGGGTTAGTGGTTGGGGTTCGGAGTAGGGGTTTGATCTAGGGTGAGGACTAAGGGTAGGGGCCGCGGGGGTCGGGTTCTGGAGTCAGGGGGCGGCGCGGCGAAAGGGGGGTTGCGGCCAAAGGGAAGGAGGGGGGGGGGGGGGCGGTCGGACCCCCCCCTCCCTTTGAAAGGGGGGGGGGGGGGGGGGGGGGCACGGCGGATCGGGGAAAGGGGGGAGGGGGGTGGGGTTCCCCGACGACGGATCGGGGAAGGGGGGGGGTCCCCGACGACGGATCGGTGAGGGGGGGGGGGGGGGGGTCCTAACCTCCCCCCCCCTTGGGGAGATCCAGCGGCGCATCCTCTGTAGTCGGTTCTAGGTTGTTTGTAGACTCGCGCGTGGCGCCAAGCGCGCCAACGTGCCAAAGCACCTCGCGCGTGGCGCCAAACGCGCCTGGCTGCAAGAAAGGTCCAAATGTGCATCGAGCCAGATTCAGCAAGACATCGCGAACTTGAAAGCCGCTCGGCGAGCTACTTCCACCGCTTCTTGGGTCCAATGTTGGAGGCCGTTTGCCTTCATGAATGCTCTTGCTTCGCCGTGCGCCACCGTCATAGCGCTATCCCTGATTGCCCTGTCGGGGTGCCACGTCGCTGGCATAGGGGTGGGCGTGGGGCCCAGGCTAAACCAGTTTTGTTTTCGATATCCAATGTGTCTAGGGCCGCTATATGTGCCAGCTGTTGAGCGATAGTGCTACCGGGATCCTTGCCCTTGCCCGCGTCCGCGCCCTTGCCCTCGGCGGTGGCGCGGGCCTTTCACGATGCGGCTCGGCCGCGGGTTCCGTGGGGCTGTCCTCGCGGGCTCGGCCTCGGGCTCCGCGGGGCTGTCCTCGATCGGGGTCGGGCTCTTCGGGTTCCTCGAATTAGCGCCGCCGTCTTCAATGGTCACGGACATCGAGCCCCTGCCGCGGCTCGGCCTCTCCAAGAAATCGCTGAAGCGTATGGCGCGGGCCTATGGTGTCCTCAAATTCGAGACCATGCGCGCCCGCATGCTGAGAGGCCTGGGGCCCATCCTGGAGAAGAAAGAGGACATGGTGAGGGGCGCAGGCGCGCAGGACGGGGTCCAGAAGTGGCTCGACGCGCTGAATGCGGAGGCAGAGGATGATGTGGGAAGGCTGAAGAAGGGCCTCCTGGAAGCCTCGGGGGTCGCGGTCGCACACCTGGGACACAAACGTGCCTGGAAGGAGGTGCCAGGACAACGCCACGGCGCAGGAGGCCTACCGACGGATGGGCGACTACACGGACCAGCCCTACCGTGGCAAGGGCTTCACGTTCAACATGTACTACAAGTGCTCGGCCAACAAGACCTGGGACAATCCCAAGGGATGCTGCTCGGTGATCCGCTCGGATCGCTGGACGCAACTGCTCACCTGCGCGCAGGAGGCGGCGGGGGAGACGGGCCAGCGCTGGTACTGCCATTATGGTGCGCGCTACGCGACCTCCTACGGCGTCTGCATCGAGTTGATAGAGGAAGAGCAGAACCCGCCTCGTGCGCACTACATGCACGCGGACTTCCCCGAGGAGGACATCCGCGACTTGAAGGCCCTGCTGCGCTATGACAAGCTCAAGAAGGAGCGGGTAGCGGTGCTCAGCGCTGTGGACCTCCTGCAGCACCTGCCCAAGGTCGAGCCGTTGGCGGTGGGCACCGTCTTCAAGCGCTACGCTCCGCAGCAGCCGCAGCGGGGGGGCCACTGCGTGCTAATGGAGGGGCTCTCCTGGGAAAGCCTGCCCGAGTTCAAGTGGACCGACCTGCACTCGCAGGTCGCCTGGGGGCTGAACGATCCAGAGTGGGCGGGCTACACCAAGAAGCAGCGGAATAAGGCCAAGAGGCTGCGCCTGGCGACTGCGCACGAGGAACTGGCACTCTACGAACGCCGCCACAACCTTCGGGAGGGCAGCCTCACGGGCGGCGGGGGTCGCCCCGCGTGCCACTCCCGTCCGCACCGCCAGCGCCCCTCCAGCTGGCGTGGCCCGCGGCAGCCAGGACCCGCCACCACCGCCTGCTGGGGCCCCGCCAGCGGCCATCATGGCCCCGCCGCCGCCGCCGCTGACGGCGCCTCCTGTGGCGCCGCCGCCGCCGACGGACCCGCTCCCGCAGCAGATCCCTAATGTTGCCGCCCTGAACGTGGCCCTCGGCAAGGATCTCGAGCGCCAGATCTTTGGGCCCTCAGGGCAGGCGGGCGGCAGTGGCGACCTCGGGGGAGAAGCGCAAGCGCTGCCGTCGCAGGTCTTTGCAGCCATTGCGCAAGGAGCAGGCCAGTCCGCCTGAATGATGAAACTCTGCAGGCCCGCAGCATCGAATACTTCCAAGCCCTTGGGGAGTCTACGTGAGTCCATGTTAAGATCCCGAGCCTGCCACTCTCAAAGGTGCTGAACCTGTAGGTTTGCTTGCGCCCCAGCTTTAGCAACGCCGCCTTGCCAGCGAGCGCGGGTGCGCCCACAGTGGCGCCCCCCTCGCGCCGCGGCTCCTGTTGCTTAAGCCTCCGCTCTTCGCTCGGTCATCCGTGCGCCTAGCCGTTCTGGCCTGCCAATTGGCTTGCCATCCTGGCCTCCTCCCACGCCTACTTGCGCTAGTTGGCCTCGATGGCGGTACTGGGGTCGCCCCGTGTGCTGCTGCGCCGCCGCCGTCGCTTTACTTTGGGCCGTGGGGACCAGCTGCCCTCGGATAAGCGCCCGCTGCTGCATGCACGTCAGACCCGCCTTTTCACCCAGAAGGGGTGCTCGCTACATACTGGAAATGAGGCAGCCACGAGGACGCTCTTTCCAAGGCGGTTGAGCCGTGGTGATGTGGTGCACGGGGCCGAGAAGTAGTAGTAGTAGTAGTAGTAGTAGTAGCAGTAGTAGTAGGAGTAGTCGGAGTAGTCGGAGTAGTAGAAGTAGTAGTAGTAGTAGTAGTAGTAGTAGTAGTAGTTGTAGTAGGAGTCGTAGTAGTAGTAGTAGAAGTAGAAGTAGTAGTCGTAGTAGTAGTAGTAGTAGTAGTAGTAGTAGTAGTAGTAGTAGTAGTAGTCGTAGTAGTAGTAGTAGTAGTAGTAGTAGTAGTAGTAGTATGTGTTGCGCGGGTCCTCATTTGCCTGAGAGCCAAAAGCGGCTACGATGATGGTGATGATTATGAATACGGATACTTCTCTCCCTTCCGCAATTACTCCATATGCATACTTTTCTCCCTTCCACAATTGCTCGATCTGAATGCTTCGCTGCCTCGCACAAAACTCAATAGAATACTTCCCTCCATCCCCCCCA